TCTAACATATTCACTGGGTTTGGTGCTTGCTGCTAAATGCGAAGGCAAACTGCACTATAGGATTTTGAGAATGTATTACATGTAACTTTTACTTAACCTTGATCATCCAGGACCATTATCGCCACCTATATCGACCAATATTGATGTGTCTTATCAAGCAATGAGAACACTCAAATAACACAAACATATGTCATTTATTTAGCATTGTTTGTCTGCAACACAACAGCTGTGCCAGAACTCATGCTGTAACAGTTACAACACTACTCCATAGCCCTGTTTCCACCAGCCCTACTTGGTCCTACTCTACTCTACTCTATTCCACTCTACTTGGTCTTACTCTACTCTACATGGTCCTACTCAACTCTCCTCCACTCTTTTTGGTCCTGCTCTACTCTACTCCACTTGGTCCTACTTTACTTTACTAATGTAGCTCGCGAAAATTCAATTTGGTAGACGTCAGCCAAAAGCTACTCCCTCCAGGCCGGTTCGCTTCCCCAGCCTATAGCTCAGCAAACGCCCCCTTCCAATCATCCGTGCCGGACAGGCAGCCGCTTAAAAGCGGAGCAACTCCCACTCTCGGCCTTCTCGAAGCCTCGCATGCTCCTGAAGCCTTGCAGAGAATCGTCTGGAGGAATCGTTTTCGTCTACTCACGCTACTCGGCGCGTTCCTGGCGTCCTCCGTCTGGCTGCTTGTGGTCTGCTCCTCCTCCGCGTCCCTGCACTGGTCTGCTCCTCCTCCGCGTCCCTGCACTGGTCTGCTCCTCTTCCACGTCCCTGCACTGCTGTGGTTCGCATATCCCCACTGCTCTCCTCCTCTGCGGGCTCTTTCTGCGGGCTGCTCCGCGGGGCCCTCCGCGGGTTTTCTGTGCGGCTCGTTCCTCGTGGTCTGCTGCCGCGCGCAGACGGTCTGGCGGTGCCGTGCGTGTCCCTGCCTCGATTGGCGGTGCCGCGTTGTCCCGTTGCTTTTCTCAAGTCTCCTGGCATGTGAGTACAGTGAGCGTGCTGACCGCGGACAGATTAATCCCGGAGTTCTGGGCTGCAGGCGATTGGTTTTTGCCCTACGCACTTGACTGCAGGCGCCAGTTTTTTCGCCCCGAGCTTGGTCTGCAGGCTCCGTTTCACATGTGTTTGAGCTAACTGAGGGGCAGTGCATATTAAATGGCATCAATCTCTATCGTCTGAGGGATATACGAGGAGCTATGTGCATTAATTCAGATCATGTTCTGCCACTTGCAGTAAAACCATGCATTAAATAGCTAGGTCGCTGGTATTAAATTAGGTAACTAACTGCAGTGTTGCATTTTGAAGTGCAGCAGGAAGAAAAAGGGCCGAACGTGAATCTGCAATGGGTGTGAAGTAGTGTTGGAGCTATGAACGCATGGATCAGTGATCGTTCATGCGCATCTGCCATAACCAAAGCAGAAGATGGCTCCAGGGGACGTCTGTTATTCGCATGGGAATGTTTCGGATTCGGGTTGATTTATTTCCTCAGGCTGTTAAACAACCGTGGGTTGGTTCTCTGACCGCCGCTGCTGCCGGTCCCCGCTGCCGTTCCTGCTGCCGCTCCTGCCGCTGCCTGTTCCTGCTGCCGCTCCTGCTGCCGTCTGTCCCTGCTGCCTGTTCCTGCTGCTCTACTACTACATGTGCCGCTGCCGTTCTGCAGGCTCCCAGGCTGCACCTGTCTCTGTGGCTCGGCTCTTCCAGACACGTATGTAACCTGGCTCATGGAGACAAGCAGCGCACACTGGCGCGACACGTCTGTCTGTTCGTATGAATCGCTTCGTGGTACTGCTGCTCCCGCTGATGCTGCTTCTGGTGCTTCATACTGCTACCGCTACTGCTGCTACTGCTGCCGCTGCTGCTTCATACTGCTACTACTGCCGTGCTGCTGCTGCTTCATACTGCTACCGCTACTGCTGCTACTGCTGCCGCTGCTGCTTCATACTGCTACTACTGCCGCGCTGCTGCTGCTTCCTGTACTTCGTCATCTCTCTTCACTTCGCTTCTCTTACTGAAACACTAAACAGCTACAACATATTCTACTGCCGTGGCTTTGATACAGGGTTTTTGCCGTTATTATCTACGGATGCTGCAGCTGCTGCTGCCGCGGCTGATACAGGTCGTTGCCGTTATTATCTGAGGTTACTGCCGCTGCCGCTGCTGCTACTGCTACTGCTGCAACCCACTCTCTCAGAAGCTTATCCTGCTTCTAATGGAGGCAGCCTGGCAGAGTATGCCGCGCTGCACTGGACTCGCACCTGTGCTCCCAGGGTCGCTTCGGCGGTCATGCTTCATCTCTCTACTTAATCTTCCGATTCTATCAGATGCAGCTGGCCGAGTAGCTGCGCTGAGCCGTCAATCGGACTCCTAATCAAAGGCATCCATACCTGTGTTCTTCACTCTTCTGATCGCAGGCTCCCAATCATGCTGCCCATCCTGCAGCGGCACTGAACTCCGGCTCATCTTTCAGGTACATGTCTGCCCTCCTCGCAGCATCTTCCTGCTCGCCTTCTATGGCTTCTCTGCATAAGCGTTTTACTACTGCACACTCAACCTTCGTGCGGTCCGAGACACGGCTTTCCCGACCATCCTACTATCCTGATTATCTACTCTCCAACCCAAGATTCTAAGCGTAAGGGCGCCTGCAACATCAATGGCCCTCTCCGACATGTCTCTGCCCCTCCAGGTCTCCGCTTCTACACGGACGTGCCCCTTCCGTGGGTTTTGGGGGATTCTTCCAGGACCATTGGGTTGCCGGGCCGTGGCCGCTACTTTCCACCGGAGCATCTCCTCTGCCCTACACGAGATATTCCCAGTGGTCGTGGCCTGCGCGCTGTGGAATCACGCGTGGCGGAGAAAGAGGATCTCGGTCATGTGTGATAATCTCGACGTAGTGGAAGCTTACACAAAGGTCGCTCTCTTTCACCCAACATTATGTCCCCTGACCCTTTCAACCTTCATCTCAAACAAAGTAAGTGAACCAATAAGATTCTGGTGGCGGCACGCATTTCTCTCAAACACTCTCCGCTGCCGCAGCGTCTGACGGAACGTAATGCGAGTGCTCACGTTCCCAGCGCGCAAAGATAACCCTGCCGCAGCGTCCGGTTGATCGTGATGCGAGCGCTCACGTCCCGGCACTCAAAGATAACCGCATATAACGGTCACAGCACATAGTGATAGCGGTCATAGCGTCAGTGATAGCGGTCATAGCGTCAGTGATAGCGGTCATAGCGTCAGTGATAGCGGTCATAGCGTCAGTGATAGCGGTCATAGCGTCAGTGGTAGCGGTCATAGCGTTAGTGTTAGCGGTCACAGCATAGCAAAAAATGGTTAGCGCAAAACGGTTCACAGCATAGAGATAGCGGTCACAGCATAGAGATAGCGGTCACAGCATAGCGATAGCGGTCACAGCATAGCGATAGCGGTCACAGCATAGCGATAGCGGTCACAGCATAGCGATAGCGGTCACAGCATAGCGATAGCGGTCACAGCATAGCGATAGCGGTCACAGCATAGAGTAGCACGACGTCTGTCCCCTGCAAACCAGGCTGCAAAACTCCATCAACACACACAGCCTTTTTGGGGATTGTACGCGCTCCATCGCAGGAGCCTCTCCAATCTGAAGGCCGCACCGGGGCCTAGGGCGCCAAACCACCTCAATAAATACTCATAACCATTTCGTTTCTCGTCTCTCCAAATTGAAATGTAGCTCGCAAAAATTCAATTTGGTAGACGTCAGCCAAAAGCTACTCCCTCCAGGCCGGTTCGCTTCCCCAGCCTATAGCTCAGCAAACGCCCCCTTCCAATCATCCGTGCCGGACAGGCAGCCGCTTAAAAGCGGAGCAACTCCCACTCTCGGCCTTCTCGAAGCCTGCAACCACCGCCTCCCCTCCTCCTCCTCTTCACCCTGCCTCCAATCTGCCTCCAATCTGCCTCCAATCTGCCAAAATGCCGCCACCAGTGCCTAGGTCCCGGGGGATTGTACGCGCTCCATCGCAGGAGCCTCTCCGATCTGAAGGCCGCACCGGGGCCTAGGGCGCCAAACCACCTCAATAAATACTCATAACCATTTCGTTTCTCGTCTCTCCAAATTGAAATACTTTAGTCTACTCTTCTTGGTCCTACTCTACTCAGGAAGGTTAATCTTGTCTTCTCAGTAGAAATCCATGTATATGGTCCCTCTATACCGGACAACAGTAAGTTAGTGACATGTTGAGGTAATAACATCACTAACTTACTGTTGTCTGGTGTATTGGAGCGTATTGAAACACAACCAGGTAGAGTAGAGTACAGATGAGTAGAGTAGAGTAGAGGTTCGCATATTAACCCTATATGACCGCGTGCATCGGCGCCGATGCACGCGGTCATGTTTTACAAATCATCACTTTACTCGCGAACGGTATATCATAGCCACTTACTCTTTTTTTCCCCGTGAAGTAGACACTTCAGGCTCCATGAAACTAGTTCCGGATTGTCCGTGTGACGCACAGAGGATATTCTATGTCTATTGGAAAGTCAGTGTCCAATCAGATCTTTGAGCGATGTCATGTGAGATGAAAAATCCAATCGTAACGCTGTTTTTGCTCATGCCGGTGACAAAGATCAGCAGGGAGAGTGATAATTATACCTCCGCATATACAGGTTTGTCTCTATGGTCGAAACTACGGCTGTGATAGTAATTACTGATGCGTAAAAGACTTATTTTATCGGGATTGTGAAAAATGTGAACTCTACTGTTATTCATGTTACTGTAAGCCCTATTACCCGTTGTTGTTGATTTTTTTATTTCACAAAAAGAACCGGAAATGGTCACTTGTGCTCTCGGTCACTTGTGCTCTCAGTCACACAGAGGTGAGAAGTCGCGTCTCCTCTATTTACAGCAGACGCGCACCAGAGACAGACGCACCTAAATCCTCTGTTTCTTTTCGCAAAAGAGTTGTTCAAAATGGCAAAGAAATTCTTTACAACTGAAGAAGCTCTTGATCTAATCTGCGCCAGTGATGAAGATTCAGGGTCTGAGCCAGAAAGTTTTTACACTGATGAAGAGTTTGATTATTGTGATCGCCAGGATCCGGCTGAAGAGTAAGTGTTTTTTGTTAGTTTTTTTTACATTTTTAGCTATGAGTTCTATTTATTTACATATTTTACAGCTATGTTTAAGTAGTTTCTATTGTTTTACATATTTTACACAATGATAGATACAAGTGAAATATGATGTATGTACCACATGTTTTTTTATTTCATTTGTTTTACTTAGTTTCTGTTTTACTTATTTTTCAGCTGTGAAGAGTTTCCACTTCCGTCCACTTCTTCGGCTAGCACCTCCACTGCCTTTGTTCCCCACTTCACACCTCCAACACCTTCACTGCTCCCCTCCCCCACTTCCTCTTCAACAAGGGGCCAAACGACACGTAGAAGCGCATCTACAGGCCGCAGCAGATCTACAGGCCGCAGCAGATCTGCAGGCCGCAGCAGATCTGCAGGCCGCAGCAGATCTGCTGGCCGCAGCAGATCTGCAGGCCGCAGCAGATCTGCAGGCCGCAGCAGATCTGCAGGCCGCAGCAGATCTGCAGGCCGCAGCAGATCTGCTGGCCGCAGCAGATCTACAGGCCGCAGCAGATCTGCAGGCCGCAGCAGATCTGCAGGCCGCAGCAGATCTGCAGGCCGCAGCAGATCTGCAGACCGCAGCAGATCTCCACCACGGCCCGGGCCTGCACTTGATCAAGCCAGGTGGAACAGTGAACAGGATCCCGACACCAATTGTCAGCCTAAAAAGTTCACACCCAAAAGGAAACCAGGACACCAGCTCCTTACTACCACGCCATATAGTCCATTGGATTTGTTTTCATTGTTTGTGGACAAAAGTGCTGTAGCCAATATCGTCACAAACACAAACAAACAGGCTGCAAAGAACATTGCAAATGGGAAAAAATACAAATGGACGACACTGGATGAAACAGAGCTATTCAAATTTATTGGACTTATGTTTTATTTTTCTCTACTAAAGCTCTGTAAAGTCAGGGATTATTGGAGACAAAATTCCATCTTCAGTGTAGGTTTTCCTGCCAAAGTTATGTTTCGAGACCGGTACCAGATCATCTCCTGGAACATCCACATTAGCGACCCGGAGCAGGATGTTGAAAATGACCTGAAGAAAGGAACTCCCCAGCATGATAAACTATTCAGACTAAAACCACTTCTGGGCACCATCCTGACAGCATGCAAAACAAACTTCCACCCAAGACAGCACATTGCCATTGATGAAAGGATGGTGGCAACAAAGGCCCACACAGGGATGACGCAATATATGAAGGCCAAGCCGACAAAGTGGGGTTTCAAACTCTTTGTCTTGGCAGACAGCAGCAATGGCTATACAGTGGACTTTGCTATTTACACGGGGAAGTCCCAGTTTTCCTCCGGTGTGGGACTTACATACGATGCTGTCATTTCACTTGTAAATTCCTCATTCCTGGGCGGCGGATACGAATTGTATGTGGACAATTTCTACACAAGCCCAAAACTGTTCATGGACTTGTTCAGTATGAACATCGGTGCTTGTGGCACATACAGGGAGAACAGGAGAGGATGTCCCCGCGTTGAAAATAACTCTTTGAAAAAGAAAGAACAAAGGGGCACAATGAGGTGGATCAGAGAGGGCCCTCTGGTTTTTGTGAAGTGGATGGACTCCCGTGAAGTTTCCATCTGCTCCACCATCCATTCGGCTTTCGAAGGTGAAACGGTAAGACGGCGCTTCAAAGACAATGACGGCAAATGGGTCACCCGGGATGTTACATGCCCTCGGCCAGTTGTTGAGTACAATAAGCATATGGGAGGAGTTGATCTGTCAGATCAACTCATCCAGTACTACACCATTCGCCACTCCACCAAACGCTGGTACCGGACCTTATTTTTTCATTTCATGGATATAGCGTCCACAAATTCATTCATTTTACACAAAGAGTTGTGTAAGGAAAAAGCAGAAACCCCGATGTCTCATCTATGTTTTCTGGAGGAGCTGACAGCCCAGCTGTGTGGTGTGTCGGCGACTGTGCCTCCTGTGAAAGCCCCAGCAGAACACTTGCCAGTCCCAATATCACAGCAGGAAGACCCAAGCAGGCGGGCCTCATATGGGAGAAGAAGCTGTATTCACTGTAGAACCACTCGAGACAAAAGGCAATGCACCCCCTGGAAGTGTAAAAGCTGTGATGTACCTCTCTGCCTTGTCACAAAAAGAAACTGCTTTCATGATTGGCATCTGGCATAAAAAACGTCTGGGTTTTTTGCACAAATTTTGCAATTTTGTGAATATGTATATAGTTACAAGTTCAATTTTTTTACACATTTTCCCCAAGACCCCAAAGAAAATGTCTATATGGTGAAAAAAGTTGTTTATTGAAGTTCATTGTGTTTTTTCAATAAATGTTTGAAAACTTTATTTTCCGTTTAAATTTTTTCCATGTCTTTATGACTTCATAACTTTTCTTACATGCATAGGAAACTAGTACAGTGTGAATATTCTAAAAGCCCAGGTTGTCCTGAAAAAAACAAAATAAAAAGCTTGACTGTGCATCTCTAGATGACTGTTTTATGAGCAATTATACACAAAGAAAACCAGGCGAGGAAAATTCCCCAAAATGACCCTAGGGCATAGAGGGTTAAAAGCGGGTTGCCCCTTTATGCTGTTACCTACGGTAACACTGTGAGGATGAATTTTAAACATCCTTGCGGCTTCCTTTTCCACGTTTAGCGTAAGGAAAAGCATAAAGGGGCTTTTAGTGTGCGGACCACTTTACCGTGACGGCGAAAAGCCGGGCCACTTTACCGGGGTGAAAAACTTGGGTTTTCTATGAAGTAAGAATAAAAGTCTCCCAGCAGATCAAAGCCAAGACAGAGGCGAGTCTGACCAATGTTTTTTCTCGTCATCCCAGGTCTCATATGGGCTTTGGACTTTCTTAGTTTGGTCTCATACTTATTTTTAGCCTGACTTCATATCTCCTCTGATCATCTTGCGTTAAAGTGCTTATATACAGTGCATTTTGCCCACCAAGTCTTTTAAAAGTACTGGTCGTACCCATGCTTCAGTATGTGCCGCTCTGTCTTCTTGCCACTCAGCGAGGGGCGCTTGCGCGTGTAAACAAAGATCCTCCTATTGAGTAGCACTTATGTTTCACAGTCGACCTCTGATTATGTCTCTTCTGTTATAATATTTCTCGTTAAAGACAATATTATTAATTCAAAAACATAGAACGATGAAGGACCAGAATGAGCACATCTTTTTTTTAGCTCAAGTTGAAGCCGGAGGTAATGAAGCCACTTAAGGTCACTGCTTATATTTCGTTTCTCCCTGCAGTAAAATCCACATAATATGGATATGTTTATATTATTAATAGAGGCACTAAATGAGGAAGTTGTTTAGTCAGAGAGTTTATTACGGCTCCCGGCTGCAGCCAAGCAAGAAATATAACTGTAGTCAGAATGACACTTAGCAGCTCGGATATAAACAAGTCTATAATGATTGGTGAAGAGAGATCATTACTTGCAGCAGATACGGAGTTAGCATCATTAAAAATTAAACATGGATAAACTTTCGCACCCGGCAATATTATTTTATCAAAACATGTTTGCTTTATGACGTCTACAGTTCACCACAAAAAGCCGTAACTTCGAAGAAAAGAATGTAGTTTAATCTATTTCAAATCATTGTAAGTCGTTCTGAATGGTCTGGATCATGTATGTCCAAGCTAAGGCCCACGAGACAAATGTGGCCCACTCTGTTGATTTATGCGGCCCGCTGCCTCACCAACGCAAAATACTCTTTGAGATCATAAATACCAGGACACGGTGTCATCCAGCCAACTTCATCTTTACCAATGGGCAAAGTATATCTCATTGCAAGAGGGTTTGTTGGATGATCCAGGACACTCAACATTTATCAGTATTTATGGACATTGGTCATCTGCCCAGTCCACACACTGGGGACTGGGTGAAGCTCTGATTGCTTCCCCCTGACCCAGAAATGGATTAAGGCAGGGGTCTCAAACTCAACTTACCTAGGGGCCGCTGGAGGTAGAGTCTGGGTGAGGCTGGGCCACATCACAAAAAAACGCTGCATCACAAAAAAAGATGTATTCCAAAAAAAAATATCAACTGATCCAATCTTCTCAATCTTTGGATCAAAAAGTCAGAATATGCAGAACTTGCAGAACACGAACAGTTCTTCAGAACATAGGCTTCATTCACTTCCTTCTACTCCTTGCTACCAGAGACTTGGCAGCGCTTCCTCTCACACAGCTGAGACACATTTGGCTTGAGGGAGGAGGCAAATGAGACCCTCAGTGTAGCTTTAAGGTTCTCATCTTTAAGTCTGGACCTGAACTTTGACTTGTTAAAGTTCATTGTGGAGAAGAGTTTTTCACACAGGGGGGGGCATCCTCCACATTAAAGGAGAAGGGGTCAGTAAACATTTGAAAAGTGGCTCTGTGTGTCTTGAAGTCTGCAAACCTGTGATCAAATTCTTATTGTAGCTTTCCGATAGTATCAGCATACTTCTCACCACTGAATGTTGTGCCTAAATCCATGAGTTCCTTGCATGCTGGGAAATGGCAGAGGTTTGTCTGGGAAAGCTGGGCTTTCCATAAAATAAGTTTTGTGGAAAATGCTCTGACACTGTCATATGCAACACTGACAAGCTGGCCCTGGCCTTGTAACTTCTTGTTCAGTACATTCAGCTCCTGTGTGATGTCAACAAGAAAAGCTAAGTCCATTAGCCATTTAGGATCACTTAGCACAGGAACAGCCATCCCATCCTTCTCCATGAAGGCTTTCACTTGTGCCCTCAACTCAAAAAACCTCTTCAAGACCTTCCCCCTGCTGAGCCAACGTACAGTGCCTTGCGAAAGTATCCGGCCCCCTTGAACCTTTCAACATTTCGCCACATTTCAGGCTTCAAACATAAAGATATAAAATTTTAATTTTTTGTCATGAATCAGCAACAAGTGGGACACAATCGTGAAGTGGAATGAAATTTGTTGGATAATTTAAACTTTTTTAACAAATAACAGAACAGAAGTTCAGTGAGGATCTTTGAATGATCCAATGTTGTCCTAAATGACTGATGATGATAAATAGAATGCACCTGTGTGTAATCAAGTCTCCGTATAAAAGCACCTGCTCTTTGATAGTCTCAGGGTTCTGTTTAAAGCATAGAGAGTTCCAGAGGAACACACCAGGCAGGTCCGAGATACTGTTGTGGAGAAGTTTAAAGCCGGATTTGGATACAAAAAGATTTCCCAAGCTTTAAACATCTCAAGGGGCACTGTGCAAGCAATTATATTGAAATGGAAGGAGTATCAGACCACTGCAAATCTACCAAGACCCGGCCGTCCCTACAAACTTTCATCTCAAACTAGGAAAAGACTGATCAGAGATGCAGCCAAGAGGCCCATGATCACTCTGGATGAACTGCAGATAACTACAGATAACTGCAGATAACATTTCTGACATTCCAATCGTTCATCCAACATTTTGCGTGATTTGCGCTGATCTCGCGAGCCTGAGCTACGGGAGTCCACAGGTGTCAAAAAACATAAACCCCCAGATGCGTGCAAGAAAAAAATGCGCGGGCCGCACTAACACAAAGCTTTGATTAGAAGCAGAGGGCAACAAAATATTGACTGCAATTGGCCCCCGGGCCGTGTGTCTGAGACCCCTGGATTAAGGAGATGAAAATGGGTGGCCTTATGGACCAATGGCTCAGTTTTTTTATTTTTTTATTGTTGCATTTCTTATGTTTTCTTAGTTTTGTTAGGTCACTTACTGTTGTGATTTAGGGCTATACAGGATTACATTGAATTGAATTGTAAAGATCAAACCCTCACTATTGAATTATATTTGTATGTATGTGTAAAGTACTTGACAAATTTAACATCCTACAGGCAGAGAGTTGTGGTAGACATTATTTGCACTTGGAAATGTAATCATTAGGCAAGACAATATAGCACAGTTCATACACAAGGCAACTAAAAGTGCTTAACAAAACAAGAAACAACTGTACAAGGCATAAATAATCACTGAACATTAAAAAGATACAATCCTTCAGTTGTGTGTGCACCTAAACAGAACAGTAGAAGCCTGTCTCACATTTTCAGGAAGACTGTTCCAGATTTTAGCTGCATTTAAGGGTGTATTCAGACCTGCACATTTGCTCCACTTTAAACGGACCAGGATTCGTTTGGAACTCTGATCCGAAGCTTTTATGCAGGTCTGAATACACACAAACGAATCCAGGTCCGGACCAAAGAACCGAACCGAGACCCACTTTTTTAGGTGGTCTCGGTCCGCTTCCAAACAATTTCTGGTCCAAACCGAATCAGGTCTGAATACATCCGGTGTCGATCCGACACAACTCCAAGATACGTGCGCATTTTTTGGGCTTAACAAGCCGCAGACAGAAACTGAGGAATTCGCCACACAGCTAACTATGCTGCTAACTATGCTGCTAACGCTACACAACAACACTGAGCCGTGTGCAGACCTGGAGCAGTGAGGAGACGCTGTGCAACAGACTTATGGAGTTAAAACTGTTCACAGTATACATTGATGTTAATGGCAGCATCTTCAAATACTTTGCATTATTAAAAACCTGACACTGTTTGACTCACGTCTCAAAAAGAAATATCCCGCATCATGTAGTGAATTGTGTTCTTTGGTTCCTACCTGATCCTCAGCGTCTGTTTGTCCCGTGGTTATTATAGATCCATGGTTTATCCACAATGCTGAACAGGGCCATTATTATAATAGATCCATGTGTGGGACAGGGCACGGAGCGCAGACAGTCTCCTTCGGCTTTCTCCTCACGCATTCTCCGACGCTGTTCCAATATTTAAAACAACGTGTTTGGCCTGCGTCATATGAGCTGCTGCTGTTGATGTTGAAGGTGGTTTTGCTCTAAAAAGAGCAAACATAGGCAGAGCAGACATGCTGCACATACGAGCCCTCAATGTTTTCTGCCGGTTCCGCGTCTATCCTCCGTGAGCTCTTGCTGTCCAATAGGAGCCGATCGTCACACGTGTCTATATGTTTATATAAAAAAGTTCACTTGCAAAAAGGACAGTCTGAATATGAACCGGAGCAAAAGAAAAAAAGTTTGGTCTGCT